AGAAGAGACTGTGCGTTTCTGATCTGTCCTTAATATATTTTGCTTTGTAATGTTATCACCTCAAATCATGACGTCATACTAGCCTTATTTTGCTTATTTTTTATTGTCTACTAAAAATCCAAATTACAACAACAGGGTCACAGTTACAAGCTTGTGAAAGTCGAGAAGGCTGTCCTGACCAGGGCCTTGGTGTTATTCTTGACTTTGACTGCCGAGGAAGATGCTGGCCCTGTGCAAACTATTCAAGCCGCGGTCTACCACCCCCTTGGTGGCAATCCAGTCCTTGAAGAGTGGAGGTTCAAACCACGCCCTGCTCATTGACATTGTTGTCAACTTTAAGGTTTAGTTGTAGTTGTCCATGTCTCCCTACCGTGACCTATCCCTATGCTTATATAATATATGTCGTAGTATTGTGAAGATCTATTATGTTAGTTATCCATGAATTTAGACTTGACTTGAGACTTACGTGGCTATTTGTTATTAGTTACTGGTAGCTAATGCATGTGATGGAGCTGTACTTTATTATTCTCTTGTTTGTTTCTTTTCTCTGAATCTGTTGAATAATTTTGTTATTACTGTCTTCTCAAAGGAATTGCTTCCTTAATCGTTTTATTGTGACGACATAAGGACAATATATGGGGGAACTCAACCTTACTGCACCTGGTATAAATTTTGTTGGTAACACTTCCATTTTAAAACCATTTGTTTTTACACAAGACAATTATGATATATTTCAATCTTGACAGAATATTTATGTAGGCATTGTATCTCAAACCAAGTTAGTTATCTTGTAAAAAATGCCTTTTATATTTTATACATACAATATGGATGTTAAATCGAAGTTCATCAAAAGAAGATTAATTTGATATATTACATGTGTAAAACTGATAAAAAATAAAAAAGTTATTAACTTTTAAAATATATATACAATTCGATAGTTATAATAAGGAATTATATTAAAATATACATGTAACATGACCATAAATAATCAACATATTTATGGGGATAACGAAACATGTAATTTTGTCACATAGGATTCCGAAGCACCAGAAACAGCCACGTAAGCTCAGCGCATTCTGAATTGATATATATGGGGGACAATTGGATAACAAAAACATTATTATTATTATTATTATTATTATTATTAGGCAAAATTGCATATAAAAGCACCACCTTTTATGTTTTTGCAATTTAATCACCACATTTGTAATTTAGCAATTTAATACACAACTTTACTTATTTCTTGCAATTCGAATCACAGGGCCCAATTTCGGGCATGTTCTTGTGACGTGGCATTTTGTGGTGACGTGGCGTTTCCACGTGTCAATGACGGGGCATCTTTGGGCTGACGTGGCAATCTATGTCAATTAAGAAAAAAAATAAATATATTTTGTAGAAAGGGGGGTTTGAACCCTGGTCTCCATGGGAGAAAAGTAACTATGCTACCAACTCACCTATCAATATTAGTTAACATATTCAATAACAATTTATATATATAGGAATTACGTATGAATAA